GGAGCCTGCTTCTCCCTCTGACCCTCCCCCCTCTCATGTGCTCTCTCTCTCTCATTCTCTCTGTCTCAAATAAATAAATAAAATCTTTAAAAAAAATTTATTTATGAGAGAGAGAGACAGACAGACAGACAGAGAGTGCGAGTGGGGTGGGGGCAGGGGCAGAGGGAGAGGCAGACTCCCAGCCGAGTGTGGAGACTGACGTGGGACTCGATCCCAGGACCCTGGGATCACAACCTGAGCCGAAGCCAGACGCTTAACGGACTGAGCCACCCAGGTGGCCCAGGCGCCACCCCCATAGTACCTTCTAACACGCAAATGTACTTCCTTATTGCATTTCATCGCTGCCTGCGAGCTCCACGTGAGCAGAGATTTTTGTTCATTCCTGGATAGACAGAATGAATGGCTCCCCGTTGTGCTGGACTCTCTCTGGGTCTTTAGACACTGTTTCCAAAGACCCACTGGTGTCCCACAGACAACAAAGTTCCAGTTGAAAACAGCCTCCACACCCCAAGCCCACTCCTCCTCCTGTGGCCTCAGCTCAGCTCAGGATCCTTTTCTCCATTGCTCAAGCCAGACGTTGAGACTCTGTCCTTGACACTTCTGTCTCCCCATGCCTCATATCTAGTCACATCTAAAATATCTAGACTGTGCTCACTCCCACCATTCTTTCCACCACGACTCTCCTCCCTCACAGGCACGTTAGGCCACCACCTGCCCACTCTTCAGAAGTCTCTGCAAGCCTCACCTCCCACCCCTGGCTTCTCATCTCTAATGGCGCTGCCGTTATCTATCAGACCCACTAGATGGAGTGATCCAAGGGTGGAGATTTGGTTTGTACACTGTACCGCTGGAGCTTGGCTGGTTTACAGGTGGTTGGTTGATTAGATCATTAAATGAGCTGGTGAATAGGAGATTCCGTTAGTTGGCCAAGTTGCTAGATTATTAGTTAGTTGAAGGGTTGGTTGGTGAGTTGTTAGCTATTTAGCTCCTTGGTTAGCAGATATTGCTTAGATAATTATCTGGTTGGCCGTTACCTTCTTGGCTTGTAGGCCAGTTTTCTCATTCTACACCCTTTCCTTGAGCTATCTCATCTCTGCCCAAGGACCAAATGACCACCTATGACCTCCAGATGCGTATCTCTAAACAAGACATGACCAGCTGCCTCCGTATTACTGGCCATCTCCACCTAGATGTCCAGGAGGCTCTTCAAACTCCACACAGCCCGAGGGCCTCCTCATGCTCCTGCCTAAGCCTGCAGCTTCTCTCCTGTGCTCACTTGTCATTCTGCTGCTCTGCCCGAACCTGAGGTCATCACTGACCCTTCCCTCTCCATTTTCCTCTTCAATCAAACACCAAGTGTGTCATTTTCACTGTCTTCTAACCATCTCCACAGCACCTTCTTGGCTCAGGCTGCCGTCGCTGCTCAGGCTGTCTGTGGCAGAAGCTTCCTGATTGCTCGTCACACCCTCACTCCTGCTCCCTCATCCCAGCTTCCATAGAGGAGGCAATGCCGCTGCTTAAATCCTCCACCGAACCCCTGGCCCTCTGGGTCGAGTTCAGACTCCCTAACATGGGCCCTAAGGTCTTCTGCCATCTGGCCCTGTGCCCCTCTCTGCCCACCTCATGCTACTTTCTCTCCTCTCTCTGGCCAGCCCATCCTTGGGGAGTTCGTCTACACATCACACACTGTCTTAGCGGCAAGCCTCTGCCATGCCATTCCAATGCCCTGAACTTTCCCCTGCCTCCCCTGCTGCTCCTTCATCTGGCCAGCCTTCCATTCTCAACCTGTTTCCTCTCCTGTGGGAGACCCTCCCGCCCCCTCCTCTAGGTCATTTGTTTCTTCTCTGCAATCTAGTGATGCCCACCTTTCACCTGTGGCAACACTCCTCACACTTTATAGCAATTACTTCATTGTTTTTCTGCCTGAGAGCAGGGATCATGACAGTGTTCTTTACTACAGTGCTTGATCATAGTAGGCATTTGATAAATCTCTGGGTCAGTGGCTGGTTGGTGGTTATTTGTTGCTTAATGTGTCTTGCTTGCTGTGTGATGAGGAGGAAGGTGCCACGGTTGGAAAGTTCTCTTGATGTCTTTGGCTTCTTGCTCTGTCCACCTCTCCACTACCTCTGTGGTACTACCTCTGTGGTACTCTTGGGTACCTGCCTGCCTCGGGCTACTCACAGGTACTTCTTCAGGGCTAAGAGGCTGGTTATAGTGGCAAGGAGACAATCCCCCCCCAATGCTTCATGGGAGCCAGAGTTGGATGGAAGTCAATAAATTGTCCCAGCAACTCTATATCCCTCTTCAGATGCTCAGCCCTTGGTTTGTTTCCCTGGGGTAAGGACAGAGCAAGGACCAGGGTGGGTGAGATTAAACACAGGGTCTCAGCCAGAAAAGTAGAAGGTGTTTTATCCATGCCTGATTTACGTTTCTTACTCCCTCTACTTATTCTGTGCTGCTGTGAGGGTGGGGTGGGGGGTGATGTTGCTATCCCAGGCAGGATGAGGTAGTTGAGGGGCTGGGTCAGCTTCAGGAATTCAGCAGGGGGAGGGTCACCAGTCTGAACAAGCACTAAGGACACTTAAAGGGCTCTGTAGCCTTCTTCCTCCTCTTTAGCCTCCAGACTCCATCTCCTTCCCCAAACCAGAACTCTCTACCCCGCTCCCAACAGATGATGGGAACCATAACTCATTTTTTTTGTCTATCTATCCATCCAAACATGCATTTATTAAACAGATATTTGTCCAGCATATATCATGTGCCAGGCCCTGTAAGAGGTTTTGGGGATCTAGTGGAGAGTACAACAGATGAATTCCCCAGTTCTCATTCATTGGACAATATCTATTGCACACCTACTCTGTGTTTGGCCCTGTGCTAGGCACTGAGCATACAACAGAGGGGAAGATCCAGTCCCTCCTTTCCTCCCTCCTCTCTCTCATTTGTTCATTCATTCGTTCACCACAGAAGTCTGTGTCCACCTGGTTGCGAGCCCGCTGCACTTTGCAGATGCTTTCCCCTCTGGCAGAACGTGATGGAAGTTTCAGGCCTCAGTCTTTACAGAGCCCTGAGTGGACTCTGCCACACCCTGTGTTGTTTGCAGAGTGCCTCCTATTAACAAGTCGTGCCTGCTGCCTGGACTGTGTTCCCGAAGCTTGGGTTCCTACAGATAGGCAGGCAGGCAGATGGACAGCTGAGCTCCACTCTTCTGCCTGCTCTCTCCCATCTGCTTCTCCTCTGAGACTCAGTGGCCCCACAGATGGCACTTTTCGGCTCCCCACTGCCTTCTCTGCAAAATGACCTTGTTAGTGCACCCTTCCCACTGGGCCAGTCCCCTCCACAAAGAAGGGACCTAGCCTGGCCGTCTAGCACCAGTCCCTCTCCACAGCCCTGTGGCTCTCAGTTATCTTGGATCCCAGCTGTACCAGCTGCCCTGGGCAAGAGGAGGTGTGTGTGGGTAACCTCTGAGTTACCCATTAACTCAGACATGAGTTAAAGGGCCGATGGCAGCGAGTACAGTCGAGTCTCTTTCCTGCCCATGGGCTCGGGTTGCTGCTCCAGGTCCACCCGCAGCTCCAAGATGGTCTCATCGCCCGTAGTCATAACAAGGATGCAAGCAATCATGCAGAAGGAGATGGTGCGAGAGTTCCTGGCCGAGTTCATGAGCACGTACGTCATGATGGTGAGTGGGGAGGAGGCACAGGGTGGGTGGGCTCTGAGGGAGGGACAGGCACCCCAGGACCTCAGGAGGGTGGGGCTCAGTGAAGGCAATCCATGACCCCCTCCCCACCACTGACCCCTGGGTCACATTATCCATTCTCCAGCCTTGGAGCGGGAATCCTGAAGGAGAAGCATAAGAAAGTAAAGAGAGAGGCTTTCTCTTTCTCGCTATCTTTTAGGGAAAGAAAGAGATCATAATATGTGGGGGCAGAACAAAACCATGGGCTGGGGCACAGGTGTCAGAGGGCATGGCTGGAAGTGGGGAGAAGGGAAACTAAGGGTACAGAGATTAGAGAGAAGTGTCATTGAGTGTCATGCTTTGAGAATCCTGAGGGCCATGAGGAGACGCTGAAGGTTTTCAAGCTGGGGAGTGATGTGTTCAGATTTGGATTTTAGAAGGTGGTTTGCGGTGCAGTGTGAGCACCCCAGCAGAACTGGCAGAACTGGTGGGAGGGGAAGCAGTTAAGAGGCTGTTGACCTAGTGATAGAGGGAGGGTGGTGACTGGTCCAGGGATGGGGAACAAAGCACACATTTGAGGGACTTGTGGAAGAACCTAGACTTTGCAAGCAGCAGATGAGGGGTAAGTGCTGAGGAGGAGGCCATTCTGGAGTCTGGGGCCCACTTCCGGGTGAGAGGCTAGGTCAGTTTGGGTGTGCTCAGGTGAGGTGCCAGTGGAGACATCTGGGGGCTTGGATATAGAGGTCTGGAGCTCAAGAGAGGGACTTGGGCTGGAAGTAAGGAGTTAGAGCTCATCAGAATATGGATGGTGGTTATAAAACTGTCCAGTGAGAGTGTATAGAAAGAGAAAAAAAGGAAGAGAAACAGGGACATGGGAAGGCATCAGTGCATGTGGGTGGTGCCGGCTTCCCTAAAGAGGAGCATGCAAAGAAGCCTGAGGAGGAGAGGCCAGAAAGGTGGGAGGAGAAGAGGGGGGAGACCTGTTATAGAAGGGAGGGTCCACAAGGAGGGGCTGGTCAGCAGTGGGAGGCTGCAGACAGGCCAGAGAAAGTGACTCCTGGCAAGGGTCTGTAGGGATTGGCAAGATGGAGGCCACTGGAGACCTCGACAAGGGCTCTTTTACTGGCTGATGGGACAGAAACCCGACTGTAGATGGGATGTGAGGTTTCTTAGAAACTCCCCCTCTCTCCACATGCAGGACATATGTGCTGGTCTCTTGTCATGATAAGTGCTCTCAACTGCCCTCCCCTCCCTGCCTCCTGCCCTCTCCCTTTCCCCATTACCTGCCCTCCTGTTTTGACTCCTGAGCTGTGAGGACAGCAACTGGATGGGGTCCAGCCTTAATGCAGGGTGAAGTCATTCATTTATGACAAGACATTCCAGCCTCGTGAGGGCTGTTAAACCTTGGAACCATAGAGTGAGGAGGGTGCCTCCTCAGAGAGCTCTTAGGAAAAGCTGGCACCACCCACATGCACTGATGCCTTCCCATGTCCCTGTTTCTCTTCCTTTTATTGAGATTATTATTGAGCACCTACTGCATGCCAGACATGATGATGCCAAACCCCTTACATATAGTATCTTCTCAAATCCTCACAGCAAAGTGTTGTGCTCCTCCTACGAGGGAGGTTCTATTATTATCCCCATTTCACAGATGGGGAAACTGAGCCTCCATGAGACTAAGTTACTTGTCCAAGGTCACATTTTAAGTTCAGATTAAATCCAGTCCAACCTAATATCATAGTCTTGACCCTTAGTCTCTATACTCTCTGTTCCTTCGCTTAGCTATGACAGAATTTACAACACTCTGGCTTATTAATTCTCCCCCAGCTGAGGTAAGGCCCTCACTTTCAGGCCTTTGGTAGTCTCTGGGCCTCAATTTCCCCATCTGTAGAAGAGGAGCAGAAATATTTGCCAGGCAGATATGCTGTGAGGATGGAAGGGAAATCACACTTATAAAAGAACTCTGTGAGGTTTAAGCTCATCTAGGACATTGTGTTGTTATTTTCAGTTTTGGGCCTGTGCCAAGAAGTGGGGGCTTTTTCAGTTATAGGAAGCTCAGTGAGTCATCAGGGCGAAGGTTTTGCCAGAAAAACTAGTGTGACCTTGGGCCCCATTTACTGCAGCCAGGATGAGGGAAGTGGACTGTTCTACTCTGCAGCCTCCCGGGGTGCTGTGCTCAGGACTGGCCTCGTGCTTATGGGGACCCAAATGGGCCGGGCCACATTCACTGGGCATGGACGGGAGGGGCTGGGCCAGTAGGGGCCTGGAAAAGCAGCTGTCGACAGGAGCCATAAAGGGAGGAGGTGCAAACTTACACGCTATGGGGGCCAGAGTGAACTCAGAGTGGTGGGGACTGTGGCTAAGGGCAGATTGCCGGCCTGTGCAAAGCATCTCTGCCACCACCCCAGCGGATGGCTGCCACGCAGGGCGCAATGCTGGCCAGCGTTGCCCGAGCTTCTGATTCTTCCAGAGAGCCTGAAACTTCTGGTCGTCAAAACCAAGTTACCCAAACAAAACCTGTGTTCTGGAGAGACTGGCCCATGGGCTGCCAGTTGGCAACCTTGATACAGAAGGTCATGTGGGGTTTAGTCACTAATTCATTATTTTTAGCAAATGGTTTAGAGCTCGTACTTGGAAATGTGAACCCTCGGTCTTCAGACCCTCCATGCGTGCTCCAGCCCCTGCACCTCCTGACCCTCCCAACGCCTGTCAGCCCGTCCTGGCCTCACTCCCCACCCTCATGTCCCATCTGTCCCTGTCCTCTCCTGCCTCATCCTACCCTTGGCCCTAAGCCTGCCTGTCTCTGGGCTCCCCTGCACCTGTCTTGGAGCTCTTGGGGGACCTACATGGTCCTGCTCAACTGTCTCTTCCCTACCCTATCCAGGCTATTCCACTTGTTCTCAGACTTTCCCAAAGCTGTACTCTGTACTCTGCCCACCCCCCTTTTTTTTTAAATCAGCAAATGGCTTGATTTCTAGCTTGACAGAGAAAACCATCAGGCAGGCTTCCCCTGTCTGGCTCCTCACCCACCTGTCCCTGCAGCCCCAGACTCCACTTACCTGTGCATCCATGTATCCCCCCTCCTTGGCTAGGGAAGGGCCCCTCCTCCATGGAGAGCCCTCCACTCCTGCACCAGTCCCACCCTCCAGTCTACTCAGGTACTTAGTTCCATCCTGAGGGAGAACCTCTCCTTCTCTCAGCCTTACCACACTGAAGTCTCTCTACTTAAACTGGCACAACACAAAACATTCCTCCCTTCCCCCTATGAGCCCCTTCAATGATCACGCTCTCCCTCCCGCCCTTCTCAGGCAGGATCTCAAAGAGCTGTCTGCACTGGTATCCTTTAACTCTTCTTCATCACCTACTTACCTCTCAATTTCTGGGACCTGGTTTCTGTTCCCATGGCCTGATGATGCAGTGCTCACCACATTTTTCAGGTCTTTATGCCCTTGACCTGGAGGCTGCATGTGACCATGGGGACCACACTCTGCTGGGAAACTCTGCTGCTCTCTGGTGTCCAGGGCACATTCTCCCTTTGCTTCTCTCCCATTTCAACACCTGCTCCAGCCAGGGTTTCTAATGCCAACCCACCGGGGCAGCCCGCAGCTGACCTCCTCTCACTTTCATCCTCCCCGACGGCTTCAGCTATAGCTCCCATGTCGATTCTCCAGCCTTTCTTTTTCAAAAACACTAGAACAGAGCTGTGTAAGGGAAATACAATATGACCCACATTTGTAATTTTTAAAAATTTTTTAGTAGCCACATTAAAGAGGTAAAAAGCAACAGGTGAAATTAATTCAAATAATTATTGCACTTAATCCACATAGCCAAAATATTACCAGTTCAACACATCAATATAAAATTATTAATAAGATATTCTACATTCTCTTTCTCCTACTAAGTCTTTGAAATCTGGTATGTACTTTACACTTAGAGCAGGTCTCAGTTTGGACTGGCCACATTTCAAGTACTTAATAGCTGCATGTGGCTAGTGGCCATCATATTGGAGTATGAATCTACACTTTCATTTCCAGCAGCCTCGATATTTATAGGTCCCTCAGAGACAGCATATCTAAAGCACATGGAATTCTCAAAGGAGGTGCCCTCCGAGTATGGCTTTAAAGTAGAGTATTGATTTTTCAGAATCTGGGATCAGGTACTCCAGACAGAGGGAATAGCACACGCAAAACCACAGAAGCATTAGAAAACAAGGCAGGCAGGGAGCCGTGTGGTTGGTTGGTGCTGAGGCTGTTTGGCACAGCTGACTGCCTAGATTCAAATCCTGGCTCCCTCTGTGCAGGCGGTGTGCTTTGGACAAGCCGCTCAACTTCTCTAGGACTTGGTTAACAATCTGTCAAATGGGGAGAATAAGAGCACCTAACACAAAGGTTGGTGTGGTGTAAGGGTTAAAGGAGGTGATAGATATAACTTGCTTACAAGTGCCTGACACACAATAAGTGATTAATAAGTGGTTATTATGGTTTAGTAGTATTGCTTAACATAGAGAATACTGAGTAGATATGAAACTGAGAGGCAGAAGGGATAAAATTATACAGGGTCTTAAATGGTGGCCTACTGAGTTTGGACTTTATCCTAGAAATGGAGGGGAGCCAGTAAATGTTTGAACAAGGGCAGACATGATCAAATTTTTCTGTTAGAAAGGTCACTCTGGCTGCAAGGAGGAGGCTGGGTGAGATCTGGATAGAGTGCAGGCAAAGCTGACTGGGTGTGGGGGATGAGGGAGAAGAAGCTCTCATCTGTGACATCTAAGTTTCTGGCTTGGCCAGCTGGGATGGAGAACATAGGATGAGGATCACATTTTCTGAGAGATGGTGAGCTTTCAACATAGAACCTTTGAAAAACCCATAGATGCCTTTGAAAAACCCGGATTCCCAGTAGGTATTTGAAGATAGGGATTTAGCTCCTAGGTGGAGCTTTTGGGCATTTTAGTGCATCAGGCATATCTGAAGCCATAGATCTGGTAAGAAGGCCCAGGAAGAGTGCCTGGGGAGAGACGTGACAGGGGCTAAAGATGGAGCCCTGGGGTCATCCATATTCACGAGGCAGATGAAGGAAGAATGTGGGAAGGAACTGTAGAGAGGGAGGCTATGGAGGTAAGAGGAAACCAGGAGAGACAGAGATGTCATGGAGGCCAAAAAGGAGGGACTTTCCAGAAGCACAGAGTGGTTAAGAAGGTCAAAGTTAGCAAAGTCAAGTAAGACAATGGCTAAAGGGACCTGGAGGAAATCAGGAGGCTGGAGCCCTTGGGGAGAGCTTTGGTGTCTGTGACATGTGGAAGCAGGAGCCAGATTGAAGAGGGAGAGCTAGGGAAGGGATCAAGGAGCCAGCCAGTGTGTTCTTTCCTAGAGCCTGGCCCACACAGGGAGGGGGTGTCCAGGGGTTCACAGCAGGAAGAAAGAGACCTGAGTCCGTGGGAGCTGTCAAGGGGAGGGTGGAAGATACAGGCAAGAGGGAAGTGCCTGCAGAGGGATAGAGAGGCTGGGCACGGGAGCCAGAGCTGAAGGGTATGGATTCTGGTGGGAGCTGCAGGAGACTGAGTGAGGGCCTAGCTTCAGGCCTCTAATCTCTCTGTGAAGGAGGTCAGTGGGGGGTATCTTCTGAGGTGATCCAGCAGTTACGGGTGGGCAAGAGCAAGAAGTTCAGAAATGACACCTGAGGGCAATGGAACTGTTGCTGAAGGCAAGCGGAGTAGAACCTCACTGGGCTTCCGGGGCTGCTGTGTGTGTAGGGGGTGGGGTTCTGACAGTCCAGGCCAGTTTGGAGATCCCTTGAAGAAACTTCCTGCAGGTTGGGTTGAAGTGTAAGATACTCTGAGGGGTTCAGTCCACATCAACCATGCCCTCCTTGAAGCCCTGCCCCCTACCCTGAACGTCAGGTTGGCTTGGGGTCTAGGGGCCGGGATGTGTCCTTAAGAGCCCCTGACATTGCCACTTCCCTCCCAGCTCCTTGTACAGCCCCACCCAGCTCTCGCTGGTCACATCATAAAGGGAAGTCAGGGAGGAAAATTTCTGGAGGAAGAGGGCATGGTAGAGGGTCTCCAAGGGCAATGCACAGTGGCCTGGGGCATAGGGGTGAGGAGCCCAATCTGAGCCCGAGCCCTCCTGTGAGGTTGGGGCTTCTGTGCAGGTGGTCCCCTCAGAGGCCCTCCCTTGCAGGTGTTTGGCCTCGGCTCCGTGGCCCATATGGTTCTAGGAGGTAAATTTGGGAGCTTCCTCGGTGTCAACTTGGGTTTTGGCTTCGGAGTCACCATGGGAGTGCACATGGCTGGGAACATCTCTGGTGAGTGAGCCCAGGGCCCCATCTGATCAGCAAGGACAGGTGTCCCCTTGCAGGCTCTTCCTGCCTACCTCCAGCCAGGCCCTTCTCCAAGTCCACCTGAACCCGATCCTCACTGGCCATGGGTGGAGGGAGAACACCCTCAACCCCTTTCTTCAGACCCTCTCTGCCCAGAATCTTCCTAAGCCCCCCTGGACCCCCCATTTTTACTAGCTGGGCCAACTTAGGCAAGTTATTTAACTTCTCTGTCTCTCACTTTCCTTAATGGTGAAATGGAGATGGTGGTCCTTGCCTCGTGGGGTCATTGTGAGGATTAAATGAGTCCATCCCATAAATACCAGCTGTTATTGTTATTTTTGCTCTCATTATTTTTAAAGATTTTACTTATTTATTTGACAGAGAGAGACAGCGAGAGAGGGAACACAAGAAGGGGGAGTGGGAGAGGGAGAAGCAGGCCTCCCCCTGAGCAGGGAGCCCGATGCGGGGCTCGATCCCAGGATCCCGGGATCATGACCTGAGCCGAAGGCAGATGCTTAACGACTGAGCCACCCAGGCGCCCTGCTCTCATATTGTTTCTTATTATTGTTTGTCTCTGCTCTCACACCTCTGACACTTCTGCCCCTCCCCGCAGGGGCCCACATGAATGCAGCCTTGACCTTCACCAACTGTGCACTAGGCCGCATGTCCTGGAAGAAGTTTCCCGTGTACATCCTGGGTCAGTTTCTGGGTTCCTTCCTGGCTGCTGCCACCGTCTACTGCCTCTTCTATTGTGAGTGTCCTGCCCTGGGTTGTCCATCTCTGGCCTCAGCCTCGTCCTCTGAAAAACGGGCAGATCCAAGCCCAGTGTTCTGGTCTGTGAAAACATCTGGGAGAGAAAGCCTTGAAGCTGCTCCCCACCGCTGGATCCTACAGCCTTAACCCTGGGACTCCAGTGGGGTTTAGCTGGTGGCAGCTTCACACTCAGTCTGTGTATCCACAGCAGCCATTATCGAATTTTCGGGCGGACATCTGACAGTGACTGGTCCCGTAGCCACCGCTAGCATTTTTGCCACCTACCTTCCTGACCACTCAACGTTGTGGAGGGGCTTCCTGGATGAGGTCAGTTGTCCAGTGTGGGTTCCCCTCCTCAAGCCCCCCCACCTAGCAGGCAGCCCTCCCAGTAGAAAGGACAAGAACTCTGGATGGGGTCTCTGCCGGTGGGTTGGGGCTGGGGGCACTGCTGAAGCTCTGTGGTTTGGCTAGGGGCCCCAGGGGGCTGCCACGGTGTCTGCTCCCCAGGTGCTAGTGACAGGGATGCTCCAGCTATGTCTCTTCGCCATCACGGACAAGGAGAACAACCCAGCACTGCAAGGGACACAGGCCCTGGTGATTGGCATCCTCGTTGTTGTCATTGGAGTGTCCCTGGGCATGAACACAGGATATGCCATGAACCCATCCCGGGACCTGCCTCCCCGTTTCTTCACTTACATTGCTGGCTGGGGTATACAGGTCTTCAGGTACTGCCCTGCCCAGCCCATTCCTGCAAGTTTTCTATGGTGCCCTATATGCAGAGGGGCGGGGGGTGACGAGCAGCACAGGAGAGTCCTGCCCAACTCCCAGGTGGCCTGGGGAGACAGGTGTGAGCACCTCCCTTTCCCCCAGATCAGCACCGATGCAGAGCCTGCTCTTGGACTGAACGTCAATCCTGCCCCAGACCAGCCCTGTCCCTGAATCAGGCTGAAGCTGACCTGGCAGGCTCAGGGGCAACTCTTAGGCTAGAATGGGGATCACTCCTCTACTCTCAGGCCCTACTCCCTGTCTCAGCCTGAGTGGATGCGGGTACTGTGCTGGGCATCAGTCCCCTCAGCAGGCCTCTGCCTCTTGCCTGCAGGGCCCGGGACTGGTGGTGGGTGCCAGTGGTGGCACCGCTCCTAGGTGCCTATTTAGGTGGCATCATCTACTTGGTCTTCATTGGCTCCACCATCGCACGGAGGCCCCAGATACTGGAGGACTCCATGGTGTATGAAGACCGCAGAATACCCGTGTTGCCCAAGACCATGCCAACCCCACCCATGACCTCTCCTCTCACCCCTGTCTCTGTGTCTCCCATCAACAGACCTTCAGTCCGAACTGTCCCACCCTTAAGTGACCCCATCCACCTAGAGCACTTCTAAGAAAGATTATTTGTGACCCTATCCCCCCACTCTAATAAAGAAAGCCTTGTCCAACACAGCGGCACCCCCACTTCCTGGGTGCCTCCTGTGGTTGGCTTCCCTACTGGATTCTTCCAGGAACTCCAGGGTTATGCAGTAGCCCAAGGCTGGAGCACAGAGCTAAGAGGTCTCTAACTCTTTCCAGCCTTGGGAACTGGGGTGCCCCCGGGGAGAATGGGGGAAGAGCCGATCTACGGCCTCAGTAGGAACAGGAAATTAAAGGATGCCAGACACAGAATAGTGGACTTTCAAGCATAGGGTAGGGAAGGGATGGTTTTGGGGAAAGGACAACAGCTAGCTGGGGGTAAGCTCTGGGGATACGTTGAGCTGCCCTGGGATGAGACTCTAGACTCTCCCTTAGTTCTGGCTAGTCCTTGGACCAGACAAAGCAAGGCCCAAGCATGTAGATCTGAGTTTCTCAAACTTTTTTTTCATTATTGCTTCCCTCAGAAGCCTTTTAGACATTTTCTTTCTTAATCACATGGTATTTTAATACCACAGATGTACTATATATCTGTTTCAGTATTGTGTATATAGATTTGTGCCTTATACAAAATAGAGTAAGATTTTTTCATCTTCCATTTCCATGAATCAATGTTCTTACCTTTGGAGGCAAAATCACCCCCCCACCTTGAAAATGCCTGATGTAGACTGAAAGTAGGTAAAGGGTTGGATTCCTCTTTCTTCTACTGGTGTCAGAGCTCTCCCGCACTAAGGAATTCCAGAGTCAGAAGAAAGATGCAGAGAAGGAAGTTCTTCCAAAAGGTACAGAGACAGGAAATGGCTTCATGGGGTTCAGAGGGACAGGCACAGAGGTTGGGTGGAGGTGGGGCAGCCAGCATCCCCACCCACTCTGGGATCAAGCGGGAATTACCCTGCTTTCTGGGACTCAGAGGCAGCATCACCCATGGTTTCTGTCATTGTGCTTTCAGCCTTTCAACAATTATTGAGAACCTCCTGTGTGCAGGCCCTGCCTGGGCACTGGAGATGTTGAAGTGGATGAGGCTGGACCTCTGCCTTCGAGGAGCACAGTCTAATGAGGATGGATAGTCATGAGGAAGGAGCTAAGTGACCGAGAGGGGGCTGTGGGGCTCAGAGGGGGCTCACTGCCCAGCTGCGGGGCAGAGGCCAGGGATGGCTTCCCAGAGGGAGGAGGCAGAGCAGAGTGGAGGACAAGGGTTGTCCTTTCTGGGGCTGGCTGCTGCACTTTGCAGTTTGAGATTGAGGTGAGGAGGCTGGGCTTTCTTCTGGAGATGGGGACATGGTGAGATGAGATTTACCAAGCCCGCCTGATCTGTGGTGTGCAAGCTGTTGGGAACAGGGGAGATTGGAGCCTGCGAGGGAGTATGGTGAGAGGCAATAATCCAGGAGGAGCAGCAGATGGGAGAAAGGGGATTCACTAGATACGGAGGAGGTAAAGCCCACAGGACTTGGCTCAAATTGGGAGGAGTGGGTAAGGATGCGGCAGGGGTCAGGCTGATTGAAGTTTTTGGCTTGGGCCTGGGGCATTGGAGATGTGCCCCCGAGAGTGCACATGGGAGACAAACTGGTTTAGAGAGGAAGATAAGTTCTATCGTGGGCATGTTGAATTTGAGTTGCCTATGGTACTTGGGGGCAAGAGGTGTGTATCTTGAGGAAGTTATTCAATCTCTCTGGGCTTCCATTTTCTCATCTGTAAAATGGGTCTCATATTACCCACCATTTGTGTCGCTGTGAATATTCAATGAAATAAAACATGTACAATGCTGAGAATAGTGCTTGGCACAGAGTAAGGAAGTGCACAGTAAACAATTATGCCTTTTATATGATCTGGAGATCAGAAGAGTTGAAGACAGAGATTGGGGAAGTCATGGTTGTGTGGATATCATGGGGGCCGTGGGATAGTGAAAGGAGGGTCAGTGACCAGTGTCCTGGGAGCACGGGTGGAAGGTGGCTGGGAGGCGGCTGGGAGGGGTGGAGTGGGCACCTGACTGAGGGGTGCAAGGTGGGTGATCATGGGGCCCTGGAAACAAAGCCAAATGTCCATGAGGAGGGGAGCAGGTACTTACCTTGCCCTACAGTCACAGACAACAGAACATGATACGTCAGTGAAAACTGAGGCAAGACAGCTTCCTGTAACAACATGGAAAACGTGTGGAGGCATAAAAAGCAGTGCAGTACACTATTCAGTATGACACCAGTGCTATCATTGAAAAACAAGCAAAAAGGAATATATTCTTTGGGCATACATATGTGATAAAACTATTTCTTTCTTTCTTTCTTTTTTTTTTTTATTTATTTATTCATGAGAGACAGAGAGAGAGAGGCAGAGGGAGAAGCAGGCTCCCCGCGGAGCAGGGAGCCCGATGCGGGACTCGATCCCAGGACCCTGGGATCATGA